TTATGACTCCTGAGTTGCAGACGTTCATGGGTGGCGGTAGTCACTTTCCCTCAAATGACCCGTCTGCTCGTTTGCCCCTTCTTCCATAAAACTATAAGGATTCTGTTGTTTCCTTTTGAGGTACGGAACCCTAAAAACAACAATAACTACCGTGGGAGAGCCATGCTTCGGCACGAATGGGATTTTTCGAGGGCTTTTACCACGGCCTCGCAGAAAACTGGCATTAAACAATTCCTTAGTTGCATTTCACCTAGTGAGTGAGTCCCCCTACTGCTAGGCGGAGGGACTCAAAAGGTGGAAACGGACTTTTGTCTTTTGAGTTACAGGTGTCGGTGGGCGGCGGTAGTTACTTACCATCAAGTGACTCGTTTGCTCGTACCATGAAAAAATCTAAATTTTTTTAGAGTCCAGGTTAAGATGATGATATTAGTGTTTTTCTTTTAAATTTATTTTTTAAATCTGTACCGTTTTTGTTTAGTAAAATAAACTTGGTTTTGCAAAAACGGAGTTACTAAAATAGAATGGTACATTAAAATTCCAAAATACAATTTCTTCAAAACAACTTTTTTAAATTATTACAATGTCGTAGTTATTGTAGTATTATCAATTAAAATTATGTTTTAACATATTTGTATAAAGTGGAACCGGATTTACTTCGTCGATCTTCAATATCGTTACATGGTAATTCTGTGAGAAAACTTTTATTATTTAGTACTTATATATATACCAAAAGCCTCTATGATTTCACTTTTTTTGTTGTATGTCGTTAATTTAATTTTAGTTCTTTTTTATGAATGATGAATGAATGAAATGTACGCATGATTTCAAAGATTGCTCTACCAATGTAAAGTAAAAAAAAAATATTACCTACGCAGCATTTTTTTTTTGTTATTTTTGAGGGGTTTAATGGGGAGTAGCCTTTGCTTCCTTCTCCCCTCAGTAATAGAGAAGTTTTTATTTGGCACAGATGTTCATTTAACAATTTTATATTGTTATTTCTAATAAATAAGAACACTTATACAGAGCGATATATAAATATATTAGCAGCCTTTCATAGCTATATCTACGCATAATGTAAGCGGGAGTCACGAAGTTCGCAAATGGCGCGTGAATTATATACGAGACTGTTCTCCTGGATAATTCCGCGTCCTACCTTCCTACCGCAGGTGTGGCCTTGCTCTTATATACATATACTAAAAAGGGCTTTTTTATTAAGGATTATTTTTATCGCGTGAACTTACTTCGTTTTATGTAAATAATCAACTTTATTGTGTTAGGGAATACAAATGTTTTTATATCCATCGTATTTTGCGAGAGGCTTATGATTTTGTTTTGTACTAAAAAAATATTATTTTTGCAGTATTTGTTACTGTGTTACCGTGAAATTTATTTAACAAGAGTTTCATGTTATCTAAGCGTTATTTTCTAAAAATAAGATACATTATTTTCAAAAGAAAAATTTTCGCTGGAATTGGAATGGCTCGACTGAAGTATTATACCCACCATGTAGAAGATTACAAGCATTTAAGAGTTTTTCTGAACGTGAATAGAAACGGTCATAGTAGATAATAATAAACTTCTCACAACTCACACACGGCCGTCTGATCCATAACTAGGTACAGTGTATACTATGGGAAGACAGACTTATATACGTACATTTTTCTTATTACAAATGTCATAAATACTCGTATTACAGAAAAATTACACATTGAAAAAAAAAACAAATGATCGTTTTCATCCAACAAAAACTTGTCCTGGGTGGGAATCGAACCGGCGATCTAGCTCAGTAGTCAGGATCACTAACTAGTAGAATAATTCCCCGGCCAATGTTGTCAGATGTTTTGAACAATGCAGAACTGTTCGAAATATTTTTAGTGTTTAAAATTTAGTGGAATATTTTAAGTTCTGGTTTTAAATTTATAGGGACCAAATCCTAGGGTTTTCAGCATGACATCATCGAATGTAGACTTCTGCTACACTAAAATTATTGTTCACGATTTAAAAAAAACCATTCCCAGATTGTGACCATTCAACTTATTTAAAAAGAAATTCTCCATTATTCTAATTATTATCGAAAAATTTTAACGGAATTGAACGCATCAGAAATCCTATGAAATACAGCAAGAAACTCGAACTAATAGCGTAAGAAATTGAAGTGCTACGAGCGCAGTAACAAGCTACGAACTAGCTACGAGCTACGAGCTACAGCTTCGAGGACGTTGCGATCTATACGGGTCATCGAAAGCGTACGAAACGTGGGCGCACTTCTTAACGGGAATACGTTCCTAACTCGATTTCAATATAGCGCTCGATTTATTCGGTACTCGAATACCCTTCTCAAATTCACATTTAAATGTTATTTCGAATGTTATACGATTCAGTTTAATTATTTTCACTCGACTGAGCATTACGTGAATATTAAATGTTTGTGTGAAAATTGCATAAAAGTGCGGTCTAACAAAATAGCACAAAATTCTGGTGGAATGAAATCATAAGTAATGTTAGGTGGTAGAAAACTAAATGAATTTATAATTAGGCCTTATCTTTCCTGGTGAAAATTATTAGAAAAGAGTTAATTGAAATAAATGTGGAAGCAAAACGATATAAAGTAAAAAATACACAGTTTTTGTATACAGTTACCGAAATGACGGGTGATGAAGTGTTGATAGACACATTTAAATACAAAAAAAAATTTCTTCAACAAAAAACAATAACTTAGCTGTAGTAGCATAGCTTCTTGGGGAAATCGAAGCAGGCTGTAAAGTTCAAGCTTCGGTACTCCAAGTCACTATAGACCTCGACACCAAAGATCCAATTACTTTTTGAGATAGCCGGGATCGTACTTGAAAGTTGTGAATTACAGAGAATTGTGTATTGTAGGGGATTCTATACGGAGCAGAACGTACGACTACGATACTCCACTTCAGTCCAATGACAATAAATTTGTAGTGAAACTACATTGGTTATATCACCTGGATGGCTTAGGATACCTGGTTTTCACATGGGAGCATTGGTGACATTACATGTAGTGAAAAAAAAATCAAAATTTTTTGTAGTTATTATTAGAAATGAATTAATTATTATTTTAAATAAAGAAAAAAATCGCAAGAGAGACTAAGTTATAATGCATTTTTTATAGGTATTCAATTCTTGTATTATGCACCATAAGTCGAAACAAATTTAGGAAATCCGTGCAATGCAGAAATATAGCTTTGGAAGGTTCAAGAGAAGAGTTTTTTTTATTTTCATTTTCATCGGTGTCTCTTTCCATTGGTAAGATGAGTATGATATGAGAGATGGTAAGAAGACAAATGCCTACTCCAAATTTTGATGAAAAAACTACTGTACACTGGCGTGTTTAAGATCGGATTAAAAAATATGTCTATCTTTTTCTATTGGTAAATTAATATTATTGGCTGAAGATACTAAACGTATTGCAGTATCGTTAAACTTTCTCCTTAATCTACAGCATCACCTTATTATAGAACCCAATTTGAACCGGGCTCTAGGCGTTATTATTCACGCGGTACAGAGGCGGTAAATATCAAACTAAATCCATTTTACTACGAAGCCATTTACTTAAAGATAGGCTGGGAATGACTGCTACAGAATTGTAGGTAACCTAAAGCATTCAAATTTAGTACCCTTTGTAGTGTACACAAAATGATTCTCCTCCCCGAACTTGGATCATAACTTTCTTAAGACTCTTACGACAGCCTTGAAATGACAGCTGAATAAACTTAAGGATAGAATTTTGAGTAAATAGCTTTTATAGAACCTAGACTTGATAGTAAGTGTAAAAACCTTTTTAAAAGAGATTAACGCTTTAGGGATTAAATGTGTAGGTAAACTAACTAACTTACCCTAAGATGGGTACCGACAATGTAATTTAAGTTTTGGTTTACTTTGTTAAGGCGTAATTACATTTTCTGTTAAATATTATTAGAAGCTATAAAGGTTGATTTAGGAGCATAATGCAAATTTGTATTTCATCACTAATATATCAAGTATATCTTAAAACATCAGACAGAAACAATCAATATTTTATAAGCAAGGAAATGTTAAGTCACAGTAGCGCAGTTTATTTCAAATTTGTCTTACTATTTTTTAGCTTTGTCCCCTTCTTTTCATTGATTGACAAATAATATACACATACTTAATTTCTTACTTTACTATATAATTTATTTATGTTGTTGTATTTGTTTATTTATGTAGTTTATGTAAGGTTTTAATTATATCTTTAAAATTAAATTTTCGAAGTAACAGTTGGATTAGAAAAATAGTGTTGAATTTAATAGCCCAGTTATAGAGAAAATATTAATATATCCTGACTGCTACCCCAGAGGTCGTGGGTTCGATTCCCACCCAGGATAAATAATTGTGTGATGACACCCACTTTATCTATAATGTGTATGTATTTTTAATATGTAAGTATATTTATCAGCAGTCTGGTTACCATAATACAGGCTCTAGTTTGGGATCAGACGGCCGTGTGTGAGATGTGTGAAAATATTATATATATATATATATATATATATATATATATATTTATCTTAATTACTTTGAGCAAAGCATTGTCCATAAACGCGGGTAGAAATAGTCAATATTATTATAAAACATTGCTACATAAATTTACCGACACAGATACAAGACGCCAGACAGACATGATCAAAATCATGAACAAGACAGAAATGATCGCGATCATTTATTTATTCTTTAAGAAAAATGTGTTTGTCCACCCATAGAACGATAAAAATTAATCGTTAACGTGCAAATGTATCATTCTAAATTAAAATTTCTTCGCAAATGACAGTGGATTTTCCCATTGCGTTTTCTAAAGTGTAATGCAGTGAATAGACTGTTTATACACAATTACAATACCCTTTTTGTGCTCCTCTGTCTAGCGAAGTTAAGATCCACTTCCGCACCCAGAAATGTTAGGCCGTACATTAAATAAGTTCCATACAAGTTTAGTAAAGTAAACAGATAACACAACTCACATGGTACAGGTAAAGGTTGGTGTCGCATCCCTTGTCCTTTTCCGTGGGTAGGCCATGTTCGTCGGTTTCACCTGGAAATAAAACATAAATGTACATTCCCTTATTCTGGTACTAAGATCCGGTATTTATAATTTACATATATGTATTATTCAATTATTTAAACAATTTTCTATGATCACATGGCCTGTGTAAAGTATACAAGGAATGTGAGTTGAATTAGGTATTCTTTTTAAAATGTATATAGAAAGGTTAATCTTATGTGAGATTGAGTTGAGTTTGGGTTATGTAGCGGTTTGAACCAGTAACGTCTCGACTGCAAGTTAAAAGAAAGACTGAAAGATTAAAATCATCGTACTCATTAAACTAAATCACTGATAATCTTTTTTACCCACTCTCAAAGTCAGTTTTTTGTTACTATGGTAATTTTTAACACATAAATAATACGTTTTAGAATCCACAATTCGTAAGATTTTTTTTTCATAAACGAAAATCAGACTTGTTTAGTCTTATTCGTAGTTCTGAAAGTTCGATGAAATTTCTATTATCAGTAATCAGATAAATCTAGGTCTATCATTGGAACTTTTGAAATGTTACATCAAAGGTAAAATATAACTTTAGAAGCCAGGAATTAATTATATAATATATTTAGAGTAAGATTAAAACTTTGTCCCAGAAATTAGAACGAGTTATCCGGACTGACACGGGTCGTCTTGGGTAATCGAATATGTTACACGTGGATCCATCGGATGTTATAAAGCCCAGTAATTACACGACCTGTTATATACATATATATATAAACATAGGTCTGACTGGACATAAATTGTGTAAAAATTAATCCCAACACAACAGATAGCTGCCTACCAGATGTAATCACAATAAGGCGATTAAGCAAATTGTAAATAGAACTTACACCAATAGTGCCAGTTACGTGAGGTCTTCTGAGACAAGTTTATATGGTTATGGTTATGGAAATAGACTTGGGCAGGTGTGCCCCCTGCCCAAGTCTATTTCAATACGCATTTCAATCTAACATCAATAAACCATAGCCTGTATGGCCAACATTGGGTTAAATACTTGCTCCATCTACGCTTCACAGTTAAATATAAATATCCACTATAAAATTGTGTAGAGTTAAATTAACTTCCCACCGGAGGCGTAACGTAGTTGCAGGCAAAATTGGTTTACTGAAGAACTATGGTAAATTATATTACACGTGCAACGTTCGTGGCTTTTGACCTATACTCGTAACTCCAGTATGTAGCAGATATTTTATATGCTTCATTATTGCTGTGACTATTATTATTATTTTAAGACACTAACAGAGTTAGAAAATTTAAGAGAAACGCAGTTTAAAAGAATAGTAACTTTTGATATAATTTTATTGTTGTTTTATACTATTTTCACAGTTCCATTTATATTTTAAAATAAATAAGATCGCATATAAAAAATCAGTGGTAGATACCGCTCACAAATTGTGAATTCAAATACGAATATGTTCTTCTATATATAGGTAAAAAAAAATGACTGCGATTGGTCAAGTTTGACAATTTGAATAGTGACAAAATGTTAACTTTTTGGTTTAGATTCGAGCAAATGTCTGTTGTACACTCTGTTCAATGAAAAATGCTACCAAAACCAACGTGATTCTGTTATAATACGAGGTGTGTCCTAAAAGTCAAGTGACTTTTCATTTTATTAAAAATAAATAAATTGGAATGTACGTAACCCACGGGATTTAAAGAGTCACTTTACTTTTTAAAAACACCCCGTACATTCAGTGCTGTTATAAAGCAAATCTAAAGAACATACTTTTAGTACATTTTGTGATGTACATAACAGTTCCCTTAACCCTGAGAGCTTACAGTTAAAATATATGTAGATATTTGATTCTAAAAAGCCTTTGGGATTACCCATCTTACAAAACAGCCTCATATTTTAGTACCACACATAATTCCCGCGGGAGTCGTAATGTATTCTCTTCAGTAAATATGTAGTAGGTGAGTAAACACATTGTTTGCGGGGCTCCGGTTGTGGGTGCTACGTCGTTTGTTTTCAACGCACAAACGAGCTCACGGCTGGCCATTGTAATAAAGAATGTTAGCAATTAATAAAAGGATACGATATTAACGCTGAGTTATTTTAATTATTCTAATAACGTTTTGAAATTATGTGATTGTATTAATAATTGCTTAAGTGTTTAAATATTAGGTAATAATGAATACATAAATTATTTTTTATTTCTAAATGTAACAATATACAATCTATACTAACATTATAAAGAGGTAAAGTTTGTGAGTTTATATGTTCTGGGTAATCTCCGGTACTACTGATCCAATTTTGATTTTTTTTTTTACTGTTAGTAACTTATATTAACCCTGAGTGCTATAGAGACTACTTTTACAAGCGGTAACCAACATACACGCGGGCGAAAGCTTGTGTAGTATGTAATTCGTAGAATATCTGTGCTGAGGTAACTCGTTAACTACGAGTTACGTCACAGATATTCCGGATAGGAGGTATCTGTTATCTACATTTGAAACTATATAACAACATATGAACAACATCAATGAATATTAAAAAGTTTAAATAACTTATAAACACAAATGAACTAAGACTTTATTAGTATATTAGACAAAACCAGCAATTAGCGCCTCATATTAAACTTTTGTGGTAACATATTTAGACGCCTGCAGTATCGTAAAACCTGGAGAAACATTTTATTTGGATCGCCCCCTAGACAATACTACATTGTCTTCACACCTATTTAATATCCTAGTAAATTACTACCCACTCGCACATTTGTACATTTTTAATTTGAGAAACCCCTTGAAGGAATATTCCTGCCAAGACAAAGATAGTCTTAAAATATTTTTAACAAAAGTTTTTTTCACGTGAAGCACCTAGTAAACGCTATATTTGTTTAGTTTTTGGGTCCCGTCTCTATGTAGAGTAATCTTTTACCACATCTACTAGTATATCTATATCTATAAAAATATATAATTGAAATGTCTGTTTGTCATATCAAAATAATAGGTTCTTTTCATACTCACACGGTTTGATACCTATGCCTAAAAGCCAGTTTAATATTTTTTTATCTGTCTGTCTGTTTGTTCCGGGTTAATCTTCAAAATGGCTCTACCGATTTTGATAATATTGTACTACCAGGTAATTTATATAAGGAGTAAATTTTGCTGGGTTCAGGAATCGAACTCGAGGTCTCATCACGTACTACACCACTAAGGTCTTCCAAATTCCACGCGAAAGAAATCGCAGGTACCAGTTAGTTTTATAATAAAAACATTTATGTCAAAAATAAAACAGATCTTCTTTTAATTGTGATATTTCCTAAATATTAATAATAATAAACTCACACATCGCACACAGTAAGCTTAATTAAGTACCAGTACCAGTATAGAAAAGCATTAATAACCAGAGTGAAAGATTGAAGAGTAAACCTACATAGTTATTAGTTTAATATGAGCTGTGTGATGTAGCAGTAGTTCTCGAATCGACTGCTCCTGTCAACATAGTTAAGGCTGACGGACGTTACAAGGGAGTCAACGAGCACGTCGTCACGGGTAAACAATTTCGTATACGAGTTGGTAATTAATTCACTCGTGCTCGACTTTGTCGCATGAGGCCATCTACTACACATTAGGATTTTGATTTATTTACACTACTTATACCCACGCATTCCCTAAATAACCAGACGTCGCCGCGTCGTAATAAAACTTAAAAGTGAAGAGACAAACTATGTTTTGTTTTAGGGTGTTCTTGCATTGCATGCATGCATTTATGCATTGAAAATAATATTGTTGCCAAGTAAATGGATTACCATAAAAAGTTCTAACATATTCCTGAAGATACATCAAAGTTGACGATTTAGAACGCATAGAAAGGCAAGTTTTAGTAAAAAATAAATTATTTATTGGCCAAAACCTCACTACTCCTATCCTATCCTAGCGGACACCACTATTTATAAGAATTTTTATATAAGGCTGTTGACAAAAATGTCGGGTGGTGACCTTTCTAAGATTCTTAGCTAAAAACTTATAATTTTTTACCCTATTATTAAAGATTCAAAGGTAAAAATTACGATGTTGAGATCAAAATTGTAACATCAAAGATCTTCAAAGTTAGGTAACATTTACCTTTAGCGCTTGTGGTTAAGTGGTTTCTACAAAGTGAATGGCATTAGGACATTCTCGTCGTAAACTTTTTTTGGTTTTTTATCTATTACAGGGTTTCAAGGCTTCTTACAGCGATTTCTAGCTTTGCTAAGGAATATCGCAAGTATCTCTAATTTTACTTAAGTTTGATGTGTATTATTACATTATTTATCCAACATGTTAGGCGATATTTATTTATAGTTTACAAAAAAACAGCATATTATTATTTGTTCATTAATAAATTCACAATGTGTTAAGTCTGTGGTTCGTCTTGAAAATATAGGAGGTGTAAATGCAATGAAAGTAAGGAGTTCGAAATGGAATATATTGTTACTCGATATAATTTTGGAGCAAGCAAACAGTAAAAGCATAATTTCGATTGAAGTACCGTTAAGGCGTACTCTCGCTTTATATTTCCTAATGTACGTATATACAGGAACGTTTATTTGGGCGAGTGGGTATGCAATCCAGTGAGAGCGACGCGTTGCACGTTCCACTTCACTCGGGAATAAACGTGTCTTGCAATTATTTACAGTTTTTCACTTACTTTTTATTAATTTGACCATCATCACACTCTTAATTAAACCTTTCATGTTGTATTTATTGTTCTGTTGTACCTCCTGATAAAGAAGAATCGGCAAGAACTTAATTGTTGTTTGGTATATTTAATTGTCATTCTTTTATTTATGTGATAAGGATATAATACATACATATATCCTTATCATGTATACAAATTATATTGATAGAATATAATAGTTTGTAAAACAGAGAAGAATTCAACAATATCTCTCAGTATTTGACATTCTTAAACAATGAATTCATCTGACACGTATAACTCAGTTGAATGGGCTGTACGAGTACCTAAGTAGGTATAGTAGGTATTACGTTATAAAGTTTACTGTATACACATATTTATGGTAAGTAGGTAGTGAACAAACTTTTAAGTTCTAGCGTCGAATTCTTCATTATCAAAGTGCTCCAAACTTCTTCTCTGGCAGCGATGCGATATTAAAAATTTACGCAACAAAGACTACCTAGCATTTTATAAAATTTATGAAAGTTAGAATTTTTGCAGATTGTATTAGTTTTTTTTTAAAATTAATATCGAATAATTGAAGTAAATTATCACATAATTTGAGCAACCACTGGAAAACTGATCGGCTTTTTTAGTTTCTTCATTATATGAAAACTTAATGTGTACTTTGAACTGTGTGGTAGTTTTTTATGTAGGTAAAAGAGCCGGACAGGTCATCTGCAGTGCTATTCTCGAAGGTAACGGCCTCGCGCACGTGAAATTCGACGCTGTAAGTGACTAAGTCCATGGACACCTGCTAAACCAGAGATAAAAGTTGCTACTTTGTGCGCCCCTTCCCCAGAATTAGGGAGGGGGAGGGTTGGTCTTTGTGTTACTCTATTTCCTTGGTGAAAACCAACGAAACCGGTTTCCTGTGAGGAAACAAGAAACTGTTTAAAGAAATTTGATTAAAATAAAAAAAATATAAATAACTACTAACTAGCTCTTACCCGTGACTTCTTACTGAATACTTAATTTAAAATCCGTTTGAAACAAATTTTGATAAAAGAAATAAAATGTTACTTCCCAAGTTGATAATTATTTGTACAATATTAAGGGCCGGCTCTTAACTACTTTGCTCCACAATTTCATATTGAAACATTTACCTGCTTGATGTCGTTACAGTAAAAAGTAAACTATGCGACAGAAAACAAAGAAGGTTTCTGCAGTAGGTTTAAAGAATATCCTAAGAAACAAATTCTTTGGACCGAGTGATTCAAAGACATTCATTATTGTTGATTGGTTGATATTTTTTTAAGGTATATCTGTGTTCCAAGCCAGAAAAGTTAATCATTCGCCCCTCATGAGAATCCCTTAAATCAGCCCAGTCACAAAATCCGACATGGCAACCGACACGTCCTACTTAAAAACGACGTCTCTGCAAAATTGCAGGTATAAAAAACTAAGGACTATCATACCAACTTGTGAGGGCCCTTAGACTTTCTAAATTTGACTCCGTCGCATAATCGGTTCCTAGCTGATGTCATAAGGTAAAGTAGTTTTATAGATTTCGTTATTATATAACGTAATGAGAGAGGGAGTGAAAATAGACCTTCTAAGGGTTCAAAAAGGTTAATATAATTTTAGGACCCAATTATTACATACTCGTAATGGTTAATCTGACGCTAATGTTTTTATTTAAAACTATCTTTTTCTGAGTAGTAGTAAAACATAATCCTACAACCACCATATTGATTGACGTGACTCCACAAGATTTCATTACAGTGTTCTATCATTAAGGCTTTTGTTTATGTAAACAATTTTAAGGCCCCTTTGTTCTGTATACTTGAACAGAAACCTCTTTCTTTTGTCCTGTCTTATGGGTGTTAATGTATGTATTATTAACTACGAGTATATGGGTGAACTAGTTTCATAATGAACAATGACTTGACAGATTCATTTACTTCGCTATTTCATAACCAGAAAAAAAGGACATTTTGCTGAAGGAAGATGTTGTATGGGTACATTGTATTTGCAATTTGGATAGTAAATACATACCTACATTACTCTTTTCCAGATTGTTTCTATAATCTTTTTAAACCGTTTTGTTTGTTAATTTAGTCTGTCGGCTTATACTGCTGTATAATTAAATCGTTTATCACCAACGCGAGGAATATCTCACGAAACGGGTATTCACTATTTTATAACGTATTAAAATACATTATAAAATAGTGAATACCCGTTTCCCGAATAAGTCTGAGAGCTCAAGTTCATTTAATTCTAATTTTATTATTTATTGAAATGTAAACGTTTTAAAATATTTGTGTTTTATGGACTTAAGAGACTACGACCTCAATTTAAAAAGCAACAACCACTAATGCGTTGAGACTTAACAACCAGTTGAGACTTAATTATTTTAATTAGTCGATGTATAAAAACCTACTTTTTGTTAAAACAGTGTAATAAATATGCGTTAACGTGTTTGAAATAAACAGTTAGCTAAACTTTCGCGCTACGTGTTCTCTAGGGCACTTTCAAAATAAGTTGTAAAAATAAAATATAACGTTTCTTTATTTTAGCCCGTCCTTCCTTATGATGCCCAGTAGTGTTATCATTTTGAAAAACGAGTTCTACTTACTCTTACCACAAACAAACTGATATTTGTTTATTAGGGGCTGAATTTTTGCAACTACTCCTGAAGGAAGTAGCTACTATTTGGAAAGACAGGCTGTCCTTACCATTTTTTTGCCAGGTTTGACCTTAAGACCTTAAACCTTTCATTCACTAAAAAGTTTTCTTCTAAAACTAAATCATAACACAACATTACAATACTATACCGTTCTGTTTAATTATTTACGATATTAGTCAGAGCAAAATTACGAGTATATCCAATTAATATTTTAAGCCCAATGCTAGTCTTGTTCAATTCGATTAATTGAACTCTGCCGAGCATCGAGAGGGGATTATTTTCATATACATGTGTTCACAAAGTCCCCATACAGATTTAATTAATGTTTAAACAGACTTTTCGAAATTGCTTTGTTTAGTAACTGTGTTGTTAAAATTGTTTGCAGGTACTTATCAATTACAATCAAAAAGCTTTAATCACTTGTTAGGAACGTTTAGGCTTAACAATATTATTGCAATAAATTTAGAAATTTAGAACAAAAAGAAATTACAAGTGATTAATATGTAAAATGAAATGATGGCAGCGGAAGGAGCGATGGCGGCGACGCGATTTTCATTTGCAGAAATGTTTTCAAATTTTGATTTGTTTTGGACTTTACCCGCCGATCAAAGATTCAGATATTTACATTATACTAGTGTCAGCTAATATGTTTATTTTTAAATAACAGCTAATAATTTAAATAAAGTTACTTCATGTTTAAAGTAAATGCATATTTAGTTGGCTAATAATTCAATATAAGATGTTATAAATGTACAATAACAAAAAAAATGTGTTTTTATTAAGTAATATTTTTAAGTTTTCAAGACTTGTTAATATGATATTGTAGCATAAGAGTTGAATCTGTTAAGAAAAAAGGCATCATGATCATTATTCAATATCAAAAAAGTATCCTCATAGTTATGATGGTATAATGATAAAAGAGAAAACGTGCTTTAAAGTACTAAAACCCTTCGAAAACATCACTATAAGTATAACTCGTGCAGGAGTATGACACTCATATCGACTGGCCTCCTTACTCGTACAATACTGCAAATACAGAAAATTATTTGTATATTGAAATTCCACAGGCGTGAGAAAACAAGTATAAGAACCAATATACTTTGCACGATCAAAGAAAATCCAATAGAATACAAATAATATTTTAAGAGATTATTAAACCGCACTATTTAAATTTCATCGAAGTAAAGCTGTTTTTTTAAATTTTGCGCACAACATTAGTACAAATAGACAATAGGCAACAACAATTCCCACATTCTATATATAACTAAATTTAATACTCAATAAGTTTACAATAAGTTATGACTAAGTTCTGATACTAAGACTTTGTTTTAGTATATTTTGTTTAGTTACTAATTATATAGCTGTTTACTGTATGTAGTACATTATTCATTGGATTAGAGTTTCATAACCTTTTGGGTAAGTATATCAACGTAGTTGAATTATTTCTAAGTACAAAAAGATGTTTTTCTAAATAAAAAAAGGACCTCTTTTGTTTATTATTTTAATCTATTAAAACATAAGGACTGCAGCAAGAAGTAGTTATGACACGTATTCTTTTTTTTCTAATGTAAACCCTTTAACTAAAGTGCTAAATTTGAGCATTTCTCATACTGATTTCTGTTTATTCACTAGCCGGCAATCAATAAACTTTATTCTCTATTATAAAATATATTTTTTTAAAACTAAAATATTAAACATACTCTTTGGTTCTTCAAAATAATTTAATTTACGATGAGAAAAATGACTAAACATCTCCTTTGCAATTCAGTGTCAATTACTACTTATAAATCGAGATAACAAATTACTCGTATATGTAAAATTTTTCGGGCATGTGGTCTAGTGGTTGTTGACCCTGACTGCTAAACCGGAGGTCGTGGGTTAGATTCCCGCACAGGACAACTATAGTGTTATGAGCACGGTCATTAGTTCTGTGTCTGGGTGTAATTTATCTATAATATGTATGTATTTAAAAATATGAAAGTATTTTTATCAGCAGTCTGGTTGCCATAGTACAGGCTCTGCCTAACATTAGGTCAGACGGCCGCGTGTGAGATGTGTGAGTTATATATGTAAAATTCTGCATATAAATCTAATATCTAGATTACCATAATTGATCTATAATTAGTTTCCATGCGTTATCGTCAATGCTATAACACATGTGCATAATTCATAATCTGAGACTTAGTACATATATCTGAATACACCCTATTCAAATACATTTTGTACACCCTATATAACATACATTTATTGTGTTCCTGGAAGCGTATGTATGTATGTATGGTACGTGGCGCCAGATCGCTCTCGGCTCCACTCACCCACCCTTCAATTTTCATTATTGACAATTCATGTGAAAATACGTTTTCTATCATTATTTACTTGATTGGAGATTG